GACTGCCTGAAGGAGTGCCACCGTCAGATCGAGATCTGGACGCAGTCGAACGCGGAGTCGCTGTCCACGTCCACGTCCACCACCCCGACAGACATGCAGGAGGTCATGTTCTGACGGCTGTCCCGACCCGCCGACCACTTCGCGAACCCTCGCCGTCACCCCGAGCCGGGGCTGGGGGGACGAGGACCCCCTGGGGCCCCGTGGGGTCAGCCCCAACACTGCCACATCCTGCAGTCGGTGACCAGAGGCCTCGGAAACCTCCTCGCAGCACCGACCCCACCGGCGCGGCTGGCGCTGCCCGCCGGTGTCGGCGTGGGGCCGCCGCCCCTCCTCGGGCGCCGCCCCCGCCACGCCTTCATGTGCACAAGCTAGTCGGGTCGCTAATTTATATCGGATAAACATTGACATAAGCTACTGCTGTTGCCTCCGCTGCTCCCGGCAACCGTTCCAGCACGAGCACGCCCTTCCACTGACGTTCCGTGGCCACCTCCCGGCGCTCAGCCCCCCGCGCCGCCGCCGCCCGGGCCCGGCCGAGCCCACAGCGCCCCCGCGGCCCCGGCGGCGCGCGCGCGCCCGGAGCACCGCGCCGAGAGCGACCTCAACGCCGGCTGAGATCGCCACTGCCTTCGGAATCGCCAAGGACTCCATGCATTTGTCTGAGGACTTCCTGTTCGTTAGGGGGACCAAGAAGCCGCCTGCCCTGAGGGCCTCCCGCGCCGCCGCCGGGAGGCCGAGTGCCGCCTGCCGCAGCCGCAGGCGACGGGAGGCGCGTGTGCGGCGCCAACGCCTCAGGCGCAACGGCACCAAAACTGTGATTCCTTTTTTTACTAATACTTACATTATACACACACAAAGAAAAAAAAATCTACAAAAAAATATGAAACTGGATTGTCAGACTACGTATTAAGATAAATTTCGATGTGATATAACATTAGAGTGGAAACTTAAGGTTAAGGTCAGTTGACACGTAGGATAGGAAGAGGCGCGAGGGAGGAGGGAGCTTCCGTCGCGTCTCGGGCGGAAGGAGGAAGGAAGGAAGGAAGGAAGGAGGGAGGAAGGAAGGAAGGAGGAAGGAGGCGCCGCGGAAGAGAGCGAACGAGCGGCGTGGGCGTCCGGCCGCGAAACCAGCGCAACCGGACGCCTATGTATTTTTTTTTTTTCCTTTTTTTTCGGCTTTGCTTTTGTTTTAGAGTCGGAGAGAAATTAATTCATAGCGAGACTAATCATTTTCTTCCGTTTTCCTCTCTCTCCTTTTTATTTGAAATATTCACTCGAGGATTTCCATCATACTTCCTTTTTAAAATCAAATTCCAAACAGCTGTAAATCTCAGCGTTCATTCGTTCTCGCTCCCGCCGCCCATCTTCAGTGTTCAAAAAAAAAAAAAAATGATTTGTATGTTAAAATGAGTTGCCTATAGATGCCCCCCCTCCCCTCAGCCCCCCTCCCCCACCCGCACCCCTCTCCTTATAGTACTAATTCACTATTACTATTTTTCCCGCGAGTTAAGAGTCTATACAACAGAGAGCCGCAATGATTTTCCACTGAGCCATCTTGCACTTTGCGGCCTTTGTTTACGTTGGGGAAACGTGCTTAGCTCACTCTTATTTATGATCGTCTCTATTTAAGATATATAAAAAAAAATACGAAAAAAAACTTATTTATGCATGGCTCAGCTTTTTATTGGGAATATGAGAATATGGGTCATTTTACACATAGATTTTTTTTTATGTTTTTTTGTTTTTTTGTTTTTTTTACGTACAGTACATGAGCTTGTTGATGCTTTTCAACATTATATTTCGCAAGGCGGAAAGATTTTTTTCGTTAGTGGAGATTAATTTTTGATTTCTTGATTTCTCATTACCTTTTTCTCTTTGGTAGAATCGGATTTCTCTCTCTCTCTCTCTCTCTCTTCCTCTCTCTTTCTCTCTCTCTCAGTCTCACTCACTTCTCTCTCCTCTCTCCTCTTTCTCTTCTCTCTCCTCTCTCCTCTCTCTTTCTCTACGAAAAAAAGTAGAGAGGTCAAGCCAATATCAGATAAGATTTAGAATGAAACATAAAAATTAACTTTATGATATTAAGTTTCCTGCCTCACGTTCAGACGCCTCGGTTGGAGCGCAGAAACTTTTTTTTTTTTTTTTTTTTTTTTTTTTTTTTTCAAATGGCCGCTTGAGAGAATATGCCTTGTAACTGTTTCGTTTTTTAATGTTCTCGTAGCAGTCCTAAGTTATTATATTCAGTTAATTGTATGCTGTTGTTTTTGTTCTTTAAATTATTGCTACCCAACGAGTCAACGGGAAAAAATAGAAAAAATGAGAGATAATGAAATTGTCAAAAAATAAAAAAATAAAATTGTCATATTGTCAAAAATAAAATTCAAAGATTGGTATATTCTGGTCCAGCAAAAAATAGCTTTGGACGCTATTGAAAGACGTTATCCGGAGAAGAAAGAGAGAGAGAGAGAAGGAAAAAAAAACAAGATAAGAGAAAACCGTATTTCCGTAGAGCCTATAGAGCTGTTGATGATTTTTTTTCCATTTCTTCTACGCTTACATTACTCCATTTATGAAATCCTTGTTTGATTTGATGTATAGTGTTTTATGTATCATAGAACCGTGAGAATCATTTAGATATTTTGCTTGTAGTCACTTTTTTATATAATATATGACAAAACTAATTGACTAAACTAAGGAAGAGGTGGTTAAGTACAAGAGAATTTTTTTGTTTTTGTGTTTACTGCAAAGCAAAGTCATTGTGCTTTGTTGGTATGTTTTCCTTTCTCCTTTTCCCTCCTTTATTTCATCGCTTTTCTCCTCTCTCTCTCCCTCTCTCCGTTCGTTCCTTCTTTCCCTCCCCCTTTTTTGTAATTATAGCCTGTTGTTTTTCCCTCTTTTATTCATTATTGTTGTTTTTTCCCTTCATAGTATTTTTTGGATTTTTATAAGCTTGAAGTATTAAGACATTTTTGATTTTTATGTTGCAATTCTTAATATATTTCAGTCCAAGTTTATCCATTTTTAAACTAACTCATGATTTTTTTGCACCCTAAACCTAGTTGGCAACGAGGAAGGCTGAGACGGTTACACAACCACGATTTTGGGGCCTTTTGTCACTCACGGGAATTGACTGTTGCACGGAAGGATACAGTCAATCAGTCAGCCCTTCTATTCTCTCCGATTTGACTACTTTGTGGAAATTTTAAAAAGAAAACGAGAGAAGAAAGAAAAGATTAGATGATATTTGATGTTTTTTTTCGATTAATCATTATTTTTGTGTTAATATGTTTTATGAATGGGCATTTTTTATCTCTCCGTTTTTATTACTGTTGTTATTATTATCGTCTTTTGGGCCAAAGCGTGTTGTAATTTTCTCGACCTTCCCTCGACTCCATTTTCTTTGGAGCTGCCACCATTTAAACCCTTCCTGCACTTACCTCTATTTAGGCGCGAATGACCAGCGAAAAATGTAAAAGGAGATGTTTTGCAATCAACGCCAAAAAAAAAATAAGATGTGTGTTTGTTATGTTTTGTTCCAATTTGACTCTTTGTTTCCACGAGTCCCCCCTTTCACCCTCTGTTGGTCGGTGAAGCGCGGGACCGAATCTTGTTATGGTTTATTTATGTGTATTTTCATCAAGCCGTGTCCAAGAGTGATATTCATTGCGGTCATCACTTCAATGGCAACATGTTTCTTCATTTTGATTATGATATTTGGTATGTACAGTGTATATCGTTCCCCCTTTTTATCTTATTCGAAGTGGAACGCCATCGGAACAGCTGATTTCGTCACGGCATCTCCTCGCCTTTCCTGGCTTCACGGCGCGCCTTCGTGTCGCGTGTCTTAAGTCAGTCATAACTTGTACTGTAGTCGGCCAGGGCCAAACATGCAGAATGGGGCGCTCAGAGCCTGATCCAAATCCAGGAATACTTAAAATAGAAGTATATACACATATATTATATGTATATATATATGAGGTGGATAACGGCTGGAGCAATGTTGATTTTATTTTTTACTTTTTTTTCTTTTCTTTTTATGTATTTGCTTCCATGTGTATGTGTGGTGGGAAATGTGTTGTTTTTTTTCACCACATTTTATGTCTTTGGTTTATTGGTAACCTCAGAAACAGCATGTTATTCAGTTACTATTATTTTTTTCGTTTTTATGGGTATCTTTTGGTCTGTTCGAGATGTTGCTGTTCTGCATGTACGGGTTCCTGGGAAGTTCTTCCTATATCCCAGGTATGGTCCAGTCAAACCCAATCAGAATCAACCAAATAATAGCAATTGCACTCTCATTACCTCATAATTTTCACCTCTTTTTGCCTCCCAATGTTCTGAAAGCCGAGGGATCACTAGGCTTGTCTCACGTAAGGACCCTTTGTCGTCAGGGTTCAGACCCATTGTGTCCTATGTTAAGTTCGGGCGTCATGTGTAAGGGAAATCTATATGGCATTATAGTAATGTCTTGCTTAAAGATTTTTTTTTCTCTTTTCTTTTTTATATAAGTAAAACAAAAAAAAACTCCGAATGCATGACCGGAATATCTAAAAATAAAAAAAAAATAAAAAAAAAATAGCTGATCCCTTGAAATTCGTGGCTTGAAGATTTTGAAAAAGAAAAATGTTTAAAAAAATATATATCCCACTGTATAGTTTTCACCTTACTTGATCAGGCCCTAAAAAAATGAACCTAAACCATTCATCAGACCCCAAACTTTGTTCATAAGCTGCCAAACACTCGAGGAAACAGAGGTTGTGTCCCATGTTACTCTGATGGACTTAGACTCTCGTGGGGCTGCAGGAGACGATAGAAGAAAAAGGGAATAAGAGAGAAGAGAAGTGTTTGATGGAAGAAAGAGAATTTCGAAAGAAGAGAAGAGAAGTGTTGAAAGAGAATTTCGAGAGAAGAGAAGAGAAATGTTAGATGGAAGAAAGGTAATTTCGAGAGAAGAGAAGAGAAATGTTGGGTGGAAGAAAGGGAATTTTGAGAGAAGAGAAGAGATGTGTTTTATGGAAGAAAGGGAAATTTCGAGAGAAGAGAAGAGAAATGTTAGATGGAAGAAAGGGAAATTTCGAGAGGAGAGAAAGGAAGTGTTAGAAAGAAGATAAAGAAGAAAAAGTAGTGTGAATAAAGAGAAATAAAGAGACCACGATCTTGTGGTTGACGAGAGACCAATTGACGGAGAAAGACATAGCGAGAGAAAAGGGAAGTAATGATAATGAATCAATCAATTAGGGTGAAGAAAGTAAGAGAGAGAGTTGAAAGAAAAAAGAGACGAGAAAGAGAGTTAATAAGGAAGTCCTACAAGAGCCTAGGTACATCTGTGTTTTTGTGGATGCACCGTTGAGAAGGAGATTGTAGTCAAGTATGAACAGTATAATCTGCTGTTTCCTTATTTTATTATCACTACTCAGGTTGAGAATGTAAAATCTGTAAATATTTATAAAACAATATATTTAGAAAAATATTCCTGTGGTTTTGTCTTATCCTTATGATCTATTTTTGAATGTGTTTATGGAGAATGGAGATATATTTTTTGAGATGTAGATAAGAAAAAACATTAAAACAAAAAAGAAACATGAATCATTAATGAGATAGTGAGGCATACAATTTTCATACATCATATTGGTAGAAGAAAATTGAAATAGCTGATGGAATTATACCAAATGCAAAAGAAAACATGTGTTTAATGTGAAAATTAAATTACCAATGTCACAAAAGTGCCTGATCAACTATATATAATAATATATAAACACACAAACATATACATATATATTATATATATATATATATATATATATATATATATATATATATATATTTATATGTGTGTGTGTGTGTGTGTGTGTGTATGTACATATACACACACACAACATGAGTGGATATCAATTTTAAATAAAAAGTTATTTTTTGTAATAAAGATTATGAATAACCATATTCGAACCTGAACCAATTTCACTCAAGAACATGATTAAAGATGAGATGTAAAATGAGCTGCCACATTTACTGAATTACAGATTAATGCAAAAAAAAACTTTTACATAGAGAACAATGACCTAACTGCACAAATGAATAAATACATATACACGATTTAGACAAATTGGCCAAAAAATAAGCAAAGAAAATGCATTAAAATAGTTGCTTGTCATTTCAAAATTAGAGGAAACCTAATTACAATTAATTGCAGAATGAGATGCAGAAATAACATATCTAAATGCCACGTTAAACATATTTATTATATATTATCCAATCTACTTTCCAAAACTCTCACGAGACACAATAACACTATTTACACTTTAGTTAAAATCAGTAAGGACTCACTTTGTCATAACATCCATATCCGCGCGTGAATGTGCATGAATGGTGTACACAAAGACACACTGCATGCAGACATAAACAAATACACACACGAATACGCATACATACATACATACGTACATACATTCGCGTATGTGTGTATGATGAATTATCCGGCCCTACTCTTTAGGAAACTGAATAGCCATGGTGAAGGCTATACTATATTTATTCAAGAACTAAATTGAATTGTAGTTCAAAAATTCTATCGTAAGATATGTAAATGAATAACAGAAAAACAAATTTATAGATAGATGAATTAATAAATCACAATATCGTTATGTTTACAATGGCTGTCCGATTAGTGATAATGCACGTTCGTACAACCGGCCAAGGTATAATAGTGAAAACGTTGAACCAACAAATGAATGAATGAATAGATAGATGGATTAATAAATGATATCCTTGGAAATTGCTTGTAGCCTATCCCATTGCAAAAATAATGATGATGATGATGATAATAATAATAATAATATAGTAATATATAATAATAATAATAATGATGATAATAATAATAATAATGATAATAATGGATGATAGAATAATAGTAATAATAATGATAATATAATAGTAATAATCATAATAGTAAGAATAATGATATAATAATATATGATAATAGTAATAATAATGATAATAGTAATAATAATGTAATGATATCAGATGAATAAATGTATTTTGCTGGAGCTAAGATCAGATACAACAATCGAATTTCGCTTCGAAAATGTAAAAAAAAAAAAAAAAAAAAAAAAAAAAAAAAAACACGATAATGGCTGCAACCCACAACACTTAGAATAATTTTATTTACAAGAATGTCGTCACCTCTGCCATGCCATTAACATATGTCCTCTATCAACGTACAATTGCACTCTTCAGGGAACATGTGCTTGTTGCTAGGATTAAGCGTTACGTAAAATAATGAATAAAACACGCCTATGCGCAACCCTCAATGGCGGCGAAAACAGAGGAAGCGAGACATGCGCAAAGTTTAATGGTGTCCGATTCCTCTAATTCGGGAAAGATCAGAGTATTGAGGAAAAGTTATTTCCTGAGTATAGAGGAGGTTCTTTTTAGGATTTATTTTTGATATTGACGTCGTTTCTATTCCTCGGAAATCGTGGGGAGAAAGCACGATAAATTCCTTTTAAATTCGGGTGCTAAATACAAAGTGATTTTGCATATGGGTGATTACAGTAATTCATCAGGCATACATTACTGATGTAAAAGTTTCCCGGTTTCCTCTCTAATTCAGTTGAAAATGTGAACTAGGGAGAAGCATTTCACTGAAAAATAAACCATTACACCAGTTAAAAAATATATACCAAATACAAATATCAAAGCAATGCCATAACATTATACAGACGAACGTGCTTTTGTATGCGTTCGTGTGTGTGCTTCTGTGTCTGTGCGTTCGTACGTGCGTGAAACCCGGGCCGACGCATGTGTACACAACCTCTTTCCACACACTATAAAACGCACAGTTAAAATATGACCCCAATCGCCACCAATCTCCAAAGTACCTAACCCAATTAACCTAATGACGCAGCAACTCCCTTTTTTTTCCCCCGAAACAAACCGATCAGTCCACATACCAACTCCTGAGACAACACAGTACTTCTTCGTCAGATATCTTTTGCTTCCCCTCCGCCGTTTCGTCGACGTCACGCTGCACCCTCGGGCCCAGACAAGCGCCCTCTTCAGGAAACAAGCAGTTCTTGTGACTTGGGAAAGAAAGCAAAACAGAATTCTCTCTTTTTTACGCATTTTTTTGGGGCGTACTCGTACCCTGGTATAGAATGGAGCCATATTATTTAGTCTCGCTCTTGAGCTTT